GAGTTTTGTCAATTTTTACAGCAAAAACAAAATAAAACGAAACATAACGACACAAATTTCAGTGTCTATGTTTCCATGTTCTACCTGCCAGCAGGTTGCAACTGTTTCAACATTCTCATCTACAAACACAACTGCGGAACATTCAATACTTCTGCTATTTATTTGTATTAGTTGTATCTTTAAAAAAGCACCTCCATTTACAATTGCGATATATATATATATATATATATATATACATATATGTATATATGTGTATATATCGACATATATATATATATATATATATATATATATATAATATATGACGAGTGAGATTTTAATCAAATTTGCATGAAGTGTTTTATTCACAGTTGCATAAAGCCTTAAAACAGAAAAGTCATAAAATTAAACATTATTCGCCACTCTGAATCAACAACGTAGGACGCCATGAAGGAGTTGGACAAGAGTGGAGATGGAATGGTGGACAAAGCTGAGTTCATGAATTTCATGAAGAATCATTAGATGTGAATCATGGAGGAGCAACGGCGGACTCATTTGTTGTGATTATCAAATTTTACCTTGACATAAATTTGAACATAACTTTCAGTTTTAATACGAAAATAACTTTTTAAAAAATTCTGTTATAAAAAAATTAAATTAGTAAGCAATCTATTATTTTATAGAGTGCCGTTGTACTTGTGATGTTAGATGTTATGATAATAAAAAAAAATTGATGAAACCTGATTGGAGTTTGTTTAGCAAATCAAAACATTAAAAAAATAATCAAATTTAAAATATTATATATAGGCAAGTTTGAAAAAACAACTTTGCATGTGAATTCAAACAGATTATAAACAAAAAACACATGCATGCACACACACGCATACACACTAACGCTGCTTTGAATGTTGTGTTTTTTACTAGCCCCCACGTTTTAAAATTATGAAGTTCTGTTGGTGAATTTCATTTTATTCAATTAAACAGTTTGTAGATTTTCTTTTTTAATTATTTTTTTCGTAAAATTTGATTCTCATTACATTACATGAAATTGGTCTCATACGAGTATGAGACCAATTTCTAAGACAAGGGGCAAACTACGACTCGCGAACCGACGAGGCCTTGCTCGCCAAGAAAAAGGTTGTCAGCCAGACATTATGACCTAAAAAAGGAGCCATAAACTTTAAAAAAAATTTCCCCGGGTCTGAAATATTAAAATTTCCTTTTTAAGTACATATGCGGCCCTTCAAAGGTAAGAGTTCTCATTGCGGCCGTCACAACAAAACGTTTGCCCACTTCTGTTCTAAGTGATCAGCGACGAATGGTTTGAACGTTTTCTTATAAATCTACATGGTTGAAATAGTGACAAAAATATCTTAAACTAATAGTTTTCTTTTTAAAACATGAAAAAACATTGCATTATTGCTGAATATTTTTTCATTTAAAATTCACATGATGATGTGGAAAGATTTAATCAATTTTCAGTTGGAACAAGTCAACGCTGTTTAAATATTTCATTTAAAAGAATTAATTTTCTTCTCAAAGTCAACATTTCAAAATAATCCAATTTCTAATATTATATATAGGCAAGTTTGAACAAACAACTTCGCATGTGAATTCGAACAGATTATAAACAAAAAACACATGCACGCACACACAAGCATACACACTAACGCTGCTATGGCTGTTGTGTTTTTTACTAGCCCCCACGTTTTAATAGGTTTGAATTTATTTCATAGCTACCTTTTTTTAGCACTAGGAACGAACGAAAAAATTTTATTTGAAATCAACAGAATTACTATATGGCAGACAGCCGAATTCTGAGAGCAAATAAGACAATAAAATGTCTTGCACAGGCTAGCGCAATCACTATAAGACAAGTATATAATATCAGAAAAGCAGAAATTTATAAAACTGAATTAAACTATACATACGACGTATAGCAAATATATGGAAATAAAAGAAATATGTTTCAACATATTACAAATACATGAGTTTGATTCTCAAACAAAGGAAAATATCTCGACTCTTTTTCCGGCTTTTTTTCAAATCCGGCCGAATCCGGCCCCAGCCGGATTTAGGGCCGTATTTAAAACACGAGTGATGCATAAATTATAAGCTGATCTTTGTTTACCGAAATTGGCATATCACACAACTCATTTATATATTTGAATTAATTAACTATTTGCTTGGTGTTATATTTTGTTGTTCAACATGTAGATAACCGTAAATGTGAGTATTTTATTAACGTATGTAAAATGGTAACTAAAATCCACCCCGGCTCCGGCCAGTTTTTGAATTTTAAATCCAGTCAAGTCCGGCCCCGGCTGGACTTGGAAAACATAAATCCGGTGCATCCCTAGTTTTAACATATTACAAATAGAGGAGTTTGATTCTCAAACAAAAAAAATATCTCGACTCTCGAATCTTTAGTTCGTACACGTGTCCAAGTTTGAATGAGTTTGAATAACAAATTGGAAAAGGTTTCAGCGAAGGGAAACTAAAATTCCAGTCGTTTAGAAATTTAGACTATAATTCCAGAGTTAAGCCATCGAACTAATATCAAAATTAATTAACCTCATTTACTCTCATTTACTCTCGACCTACTTCTCTGACTACTTCTCCAACACTTGCGAAGTTCAGAGCGGATCTCAAGACCCATCTGTTTTCAAAATTCATTGAGGAGCGCTGTTGAACATCGCGGAAATAGCGCTTTAAAAGCTAATTTATTGATTGATTGATTTTATGTTATCAAGTAGCAAAAAAGAGAAAAATTCATTTAGAATCCAGCTATCAGCCGCTGGAACGCGTTGCCAGAAGACGTTGATGTTTTTTCCCTCATAAGCAATTTTTAAAATTAAATTGGATTAGATTTTTTTTAAAGTAATAAAAGTCATGTCACTTTTTAATAATTTTTTAATCATGATATGTGATTTGTGAAAATGTTGTAAGTTTCTTCATCTAAAATTATTGCCGTTATGTTATTTTTCATTTTTTTCGACTGTGAACTTTACAAGCATGAAAATATCGAGACAAAACGGTGGAAAAAGCGAAATGACCGAATTGACTGACTGATGTTTGTTTATTAGTAGGAACTATAAATTGTCTCGTTTGTAATTAATAAAAGAAATATTATCAAATTAATTTTGGCTAATACAAGAATATTTCAATGAATAAATTGTCAACTTGGAAATTTATCTCATTCAAGATGGCTTACTTGTGCCAACCGTTTACTTAGACTATATGTAAGTACTCCTGATCCATAAGAAAGTTTGCAAATACTTGTCAAATATGTAGTTAAAGTATATGCTCTTATTTGGTTTTCAATTAAACAAAAAACATCTTTTAAAGATGGAGCTAAGCATATTTTTAATTTAATTTTATTCTCTCGATATTTACCAACAAATCTAAGAACAATTGTAGATTCTGTAATTAAGAGAAATGCTTTTAAGCACATCCAGAAAACCTTCTTGTTAATATGTTATTTGACGACAGAGACTATATTCGGGAACTAGCATGTCGAAGAATAATAAAAGCTAGAAATACTGACAATGGTTTCAAACAGAGAATATTTAAAACACCGAAGCTTAACTTCTCTGCTAAAGATTATACTAAAATTATTTCGTGACAGGAGTGTCAAGTTACAGTACCGCCTGTGCTTTGGGATGTTACTAATAACGAACTCAAAAAGATTGCAAAAGATGGAAGCCTTAAAATTGTTGATTTTCCTTGCCACACACAATCAGTAGAGAGATGTGTTAAACTGGTAACAGAAGCATCACAGAGTGTGACTAATGTTAATTCGAGAGATGGTTTCGTAAGAACCACGTTACAAAGTCGAGCTGAATTTCCAATTTTCGGACATAAAAATAAATTCAAATTTTAAATATATTTTATACTTGAATATAAACCGTCTGTTGTTTAATCTTGTTTAAAAGTGTTTTGTTTTATAAATAGTATTAAAAAATCTATTATAAATGCGAGTTTTTTTGTTTTTTTATGCAAACGATTCAAGTAATTGAAAACATTAAATTTTCAAAACTTTAAAGCGTGGTAGAACCATCATGAAGACATATAATTTTTATTGTTTTATTATTTTTGAAATCTGCATACAATTTCGCAACTTTTGATACCTCTTGTTATAATGTGTCTTAAAAAAATTTTAAGACACATTTTTATGACCGAATTGACTGACTGATGTTTGTTTATTAGTAGAAACTATAAGTTATCTCGTTTGTAATTAATAAAAGAAATATTATCAAATTAATTTTGGCTGATATACAAGAATATTTCAATGAATAAATTTTAAAAACGATTGGATCGACCAAACACGGCAAGAAATTTTTAAAACACGTGGGAATAAAACACGTGGGAATAAAACACGTGGGAATAAAACACGTGGGAATAAAACACGTGGGAATAAAACAAAGAATTGAAATATCTCAAAAAGTGTTAAATATTGAAAATTTCACAAATAGTTAAAACATCCTGAGGCGCTTGTTTTTTCAAATACATTGGTACTTCGAGTTTACTCACGAATTTAACGGAATTTTTTTAGGTTCAGCTTGTGATTTCATTCTGATCGAAATTTACCTTTTTTGCTTCGCTTCAGTTCTCGATCAATTTCGGTCGGAGACCATGTTCAACATTCATCAATGATTTATTGACTTTTTCTACTATGCTTTATTATATATCGTTATTTCTGTTTTTAAAATGTATTTATCTTCATTAACGTTATCAAAACTAACAAAATGATCTTAATCTATTTTAACAAAACGTCAATCCTAGTTAAGTTAACAAATAAGCATATTCACGCATCTAAAAAAGATACTTAACGCTAAATAAATTGGCCAACTACTTGTCTTAAAATGTGTCTTTGGCACGCCAAAATTTACAACCATTCCGTTTAAACGCCTATATAAGTGACATCAGAGTCGCAGCTAACGCACACTTTTCAAACACGTGAGATTAAATCGATTACTATATTTCAGAATAAATTTTGATTATCGAGACATCGAATTGTTATGGATAACGTACATGAAATAAAGAAGAATGGGGATGACGACGATTGTACAAAGATTATGTTAATTTCTAACAAGGGTGGTTGTTATGAGGTAGACAGAAAAACTTTTCTCCAGGCCAGCAGTTATTTTCAGGCATTGGTGAACAGCGGTATGAGGGATGCACATTCCAAAAAACTAACATTCGAGTGTCTGTCGGATGCTTGTTTGGAAGAAGTAAGCAGATTTTTGTCAAAGTTAAAAGATAACGACAACAGACTAGAAGACTTGGCGAAAGATATCAGACCTCTGATGCATATAGAAAGCGGTTTAGAGGTTTCATTCTACTTACAAATTACCTTCATGATTGACATGTATCGAAACTATGTGTTAAAGAACTTGAACAAATCAACGTTTATACGCATATTGGAGCTCGCTGACATGTATTGCTGGCCTGAAGTGACTGATAACGCATTTAATTTTATCTTCGATAATCTGCAAAATATTATGAAGAAATCCGAAATGTTAAAGCTAACATCAGACGATATGTTACGCTTGGTTAAATCAGATTTAGTTAATGTACCCAGTGAGTATGAATTGTTTAAATTGGTAGTAGAGTGGATTTTAGTTGATGTACCAAGAAGAAAGTGGACAGAAGAATTGCTAAACAAAATAAACTTCAATTTGATGACAATTATAGAAAAACAAGAAGGTTATAACATTCTTAGTGAGCTCCAACTGAATGTTCAACCACGTGGATGTGATTCCAACCATTCACGAACCGTTGGCACGTTGTTTGCTTTTGGGGAACCCACCACCATCGTTAGTGATGCCTTTTATTTTCACATTTCATAAATATTTTTTTGTTCACGTGTGATTTATTATTCATTAACTTCGACTTTTTCAAATTTTCTCTATATCATTAAATGGCATTGGTTATTTCTTTGAGATTTTTGATGATGAAGGTATTTCATTAAATTTTCAAACTCCGCACGTGTATCAATCGTCCTTTGCTATAGTTATGCTTTTTTGTGTTTTTTCTAATTCTATTCACCATTAAAATTAAATAAAAACACCATTAATATCAGAATATTTTGTGACAATTATAATGCCCTAATCTCTACACATTGTTCTTCATAAGTGATAATGCATTTACTGTTAAATTTGAATTCAATAACTACTGTTATTTGTTTCACAGAAAAGAAAACGTAAGAATCAATTGTTTCATACACTGTCTGTCTACGATTTTTTCAAGGCATCGAACGACAAAAACAAAACAACAACAGCTGCCAAATTCAAGAATGGCGGTGTAGTAGCACCACTTCATTATTATAAACATTACAAATCATGTGTGGCTGACAACCGTTTGTATATAGCTGGTGGATATTTAACGAATAGTTTTCGTATCTATAAAAAAAGAACTTTCGTCTATGATCCAGTCAGTCGTGAGTGGTCACAGGTTAGAGAATTTTTGATGCTAATAATTTCATTTCATAGAACAGCGTGCTGCAAGACATTGCAAAACTTGAATTAAAAACGTTAAAAATTTTTGTTGTTACAACCTAGCTAAATTTGTTATAAAAAATAAGAATTAAACATTTTTACACGACTCCTATTCAGGTGTCTGACATGCATGTCGGAAGAGTCAAATTCTACTTTGGTGCAGTGGATGGGATTTTGTATGCAGTTGCTGGCTTTAGCTCAAACCCAACTCGAAGCGTTGAAAAGTTTGTTCCATGCGAAAATAGATGGTACGAGTTGGCACCTCTGCCTACTGCTGCTCATAACTTAGCAGGTATGGTACATTTTATTCCTTTAAATTAACGACACTAACATCAGCGTGTTTATTTACAGGAACCGTGTGTAATAGTAAAATTTATGTCTGCGGGGGGCGCAACAATGTTTCTTGGTCACTAGACCTGCTGTGGCAGTATGATCCCATTCGAAACAAATGGTACAAAAAGTCTCCAATGCTGACAGCACGTTTCGACCACGTCATGACCAGCATAGGAAATAAGGTTTTCGTCGTGGGAGGAATAATTTGTCACGCGGATGATGTAGAATCTATTCGCTACGAAGAAGCGATGGTTAGATTATTTTTTCTCTCTTGTGGTAACGTTGCTCGTGATGAAGATGTACGTCTCTGATGACGACGACGACGGTGGTTGTTTTTGTTACAAAGGAAGATGTTTGATGATGATGTATGATGTCGTTATTGGTTTTGATAATTTTTTTGTTGCTGCTTTGATTCTGAACAAGAGAAATTTCTAAATAACTTTACTTTGATTTTTGATTAATTTCAAAAGTAAGTAATATAAATTCATTCCCATTATATCTGTGAATGTTTATTGAAACAAATGATTTTCAGGATATGGAAGCGTACGACTGTCTAACCGACCAGTGGACGTCTGTCTTGCAATTGAAAAGATGTATTATAAATTTTCCATCCATCACCATCAACAACTCACTCTACACGTTCGATGATTATAGTTATCGTCATTGCAAGAAGATTAATTACATTGATGTTCAAAAACTGAACCTGAGCAAGTATCTGGATGACGATGATGCCAATAAGAACCTGAATGGCATTGTTGGAGATTGGAGTAGCACTGATAAGGAAAATATTTCTCCCCGTGATGACGTCGATAATGTGGGCGAAGACGGTTATAATATTGAGGATGACATTGAAACTATTGATGAAAACCTTCGGGATTATTTTGATAGCATTGATTATATGGATTCTGAGGGCCGTTTTATTGATTTGCACAACACCAACCCTGTTGGTGATGATAAAGATGATCATGGTACGGATGAAAATGAAGATTCAAACTCTGAAGATGGTGAAGAATTTGATTTCAATGAAATCAATCAGGAGAGTAAAGATTATCAAATTTATAGATATAAAACTAAAAATTCACACGGTTTCCACTGCGTTGGCATCTTGAACTTCCCGACAAATGTTCAAGATAATAATTAAAGTTGTTGGGTAGCATTGTGATTGATAAGTATTGTTAACAGTTTGTTTATTTTATTTTCACAAATAATTTATTTATATTAATTGAAAAATATTTTTACTCTCGGTATTAAAATGTGTTTTTTTGTCATATAAGTGTAGTTGAACTTGGTACAGGCGGCACCAAGCGATACTTTCAACATAAAGTTTATTATAACTAATTTAGAATAATGGAATATGTGAAAACATTAAAAAACCCAAAACAAAAAAACGATTCAATCGAACGCACAAGCTAACTGATCCCATCCAACACTTCACTAGCCTGTATCACATACGATACTGCGATATATGTATGCATCGCCCCAAAATCTCTTCTTCCTTTATTAATTATGCTGGTTTGTTTTCAAACCATAAAATTATTTTAAATGGTAAGATCGACAAAATTGTTTAGAATGTTTGAATTGTTTCTTAATTAATACGAAAACACCAAGCAGATCCTCTACACAACTCACGTGTACAACAATTTAACACAAGTGTGCGTTACGATATCTCCGTTTATTCAATGGACGTTCCAAAGATACTGAATATATAAAGATACATATGTCACATAATTCCATGATTATCATCATAATTATCTTATTCTATTCTTTCTTCCTCTCTCTTTCTCTCTCTCTCTCTCTTTTCTTTCTCTCTTTTGCTTTACAATTTATCTATTTTTATCAATTGTCGCTTTCTCATCGGCAGATTATCTAGTGAAGATTATCAAATTTATAGATATAAAACTAAAAATTCACACGGTTTCCACTTCTCGACAAAGGTTCAAGATAATAATTAAAGTTGTTGGGTAGCATTGTGATTGATAAGTATTGTTAACAGTTTGTTTATTTTATTTTCACAAATAATTTATTTATATTAATTGAAAAATATTTTTACTCTCGGTATTAAAATGTGTTTTTTTGTCATATAAGTGTAGTTGAACTTGGTACAGGCGGCACCAAGCGATACTTTCAACATAAAGTTTATTATAACTAATTTAGAATAATGGAATATTTGAAAACATTAAAAAACCTAAAGCATAAAAACGATTCAATCGAACGCACGAGCTAACTGATCCCACCAATCACTTCACTAGCGTGCATCACATAGTTACTGGGATATATGTAAGCATCGCCCCAAAATCACTTCTTCCTTTGCTAATGAAGCTGTTTTTTTTCAAACCATACGATTAATTTAAATGGTAAGATCGACAAAATTGATTAGAAAACTGAAAAATATGTATGTTTGAATTGTTTCTTAATACGTAAACACCAAGCAGATCCTCTACACAACTCACATGTACAACAGGCTGAGTTAATCGATGATGAAACAATTAGTAACTAATATATATCACGTAACGTTCGTGTCTATTCTGCACTTGCATGCACTTTAATCTAAACAGATTTATAGCGTTCAGTTTTAGTTGCACAACTGATCAATCAAATTTTTTAATTTTAAGTTTTTTCAGCCAGCAATTCAAATTATTCAGCCCAAAATTATTTTAGGTTACCCGTTTTACTGTTAAATTTTAAAAAACTGAAAAGTAAAAAAACCTAGAATGTGCAGCGAAGACGGCTTCAACACTAACTTACTCTCGGAAATATTCGACGAATTCGACAAGGACAGAAGTGGCAAGATGGAGAAGAATGAATTGATGGCCCTCTTGAAGAAATATTACGAGGTCGTAAAGCAGGAAGCTGATGAAGATAAAATCAATGAACATGTTGAGGTGAGAAATTTTTAGATCATCTTGAAAATATTTTAAATAATTGATTAGTTGAGATAACGGCCGACCAAATAATTAAAATTTTATTATTCATTTTATAGCTTCTGAGTTGAATGAACTCATCCAAAACTTTTAGTTTTTTTTTGTAATTTTTGCCAAACGGATTTATATGTTTGTAATAAATGGGTAAAAATTTCAGAGGCCCTAGATTGTTATTTTTGTTGTAAAAAGAAGGCTATATATAGGTTTGCAGTCAGGTTTTAAGAAGAGAAACAAAGTCGTATATGTGATTTATGTAGTTACTTGGATTAGTTTCATGTTTCTGTTAATGCTGGTATTCAAATAAATGTTCAACAAAGTTTGCGTCTGAAGAAATTGTGTTCATCTATCGGAAATCTTGAACCTATGGAATAACGAACACTTGACGATCGTTGGAAGCTACAACACAGATGTTGGAAATAAAGAGATCATTGAAGTTATAACATCGGTGTTAGCAGTTACGAGGTCAAGGACTACAGCCACATCATAGTTGTTATATTATTAATTTCATCAAAATATCGTCAATTTTATAAATTTTACAAATTTTACAATCATAGTATCACAAATAATGTTTAACAACTTTTACGTTCTACCCCTCACTAGTTGCGTGCGTGCCTTCGATATAAAAAACTTGTTATCAATGTTATCGGTTGCTGATTAATTCTCTGAGTCATAGTGTAAATGTGTGTTGCATTTCGCAACTAATGATGGTATTATTATTCATTTTAATTCCATTATATAATTTAGTTTTAAAAAACTATAAAACAAAAGAAAAAATACAACAAAAACAAATATGATTAATAAATGTTCAAATTATTAATATTGCATTCAAACTTGGCAAAGTGCAGAATCTTATTTATAAATGATACTAGAATTCAAATAAAATGTAAATTTTGTTTATAATAATATAATTCCATGATCGTCATCATAATTATCTTCTTCTTTTCCTTCTCCCTCTCTCTTTCTCTCTCTCTTTCGCTCTATCTATTTCTCTATTTTTATCAATTCTCGCTTCCTCATCGACAGACCTTCCTTAAAGTCCTAGACACAAGTTTGGATGGCAAGGTAGACAAGGAAGAGTTTATGGATTTTATGAAAAAATTGTAGTTGACATTCATCATGAATTTAATTATAATTAATGCCTATTATGATTTTGATTGTAGTTAAAGTTTATTAGGGATTAAATTATGATTAATATTATCATTATCATTAACAGATTTTACGATGATAAAATGGTTAAGCCTATGTCAAATAAACTATTAAAAAGTTTAATTTCCATCTGAGTTATAAACTACTGCAAAACAGAAATAAATTTTCAAAAATTAAACAAAAATTTGTAAAAAAATGTTCATATCATTCAACGAACTTTTAGTTTTTAAATTAATATATTATTATAATAATATATGATAATGTATTAGTATATGTAATATATAAATCATTGTTAAAGCCAAAAATTTTTAAATTGGGTATTTGGGTTTTTAAATTTTATTTTTTTGAAGCCCTTTTTGTGCTGTGGTTCCGAAGTGGTGATCCTACATTCCCTCTACTAGATTCATTTTCGGTTACGAAGTTCTATTTAGATAAGAAATGGGATTGAATGGGATTTTAGAGATGAAATGTATAAACCAGCAAATAAATTTATGTTTAAAATTAAATAAATTTTTCAGAGAAGTTAAAAATTAAAAGTTTGTTGATATGTTACATATATCACCATATATTACATATTAACGAAAATTAAAAAAAAAGAGTTAAATTTATAGGCTTCATGTTTTAAAGAGATTTTTCATTCCATAGAGTCTGTGATCTCTAACATCATGCTGGTGATGACGACGACAATGATGACGGTGATGACAATGATGATGATGACCAGAATGATGATATGTTGGTGACAACGATGATGGTGATAACGTTAAGGGTATAACTATGAATGTGATGAAAACAATTAAAATTGTAATGTTGATAACAATGGCTATCAATTCTAATGACGATGAAGATGATGGTTTGATTGGAACGATGATAAAAAGCAATACAAGTAGAGAATAGAAAGATGATCAAAGTGATGTTGACAAAGATGATGATGAAAGTGTTAATAATGATGACGAAGATGATGAATAAACTGATGATAACAATAAAATACATATTAGCATGACCAAGACGATCTATCAGAAACTTCTAATTCAATTAGGACCCCTTCTTAATAGCAGTAACGTACTGTATATATTATGCTGCATTCCTATAAATTAAGTACTTATATATATTACACACATATAAACATATGTTTGAAATGGTTGAAATGGTTGAAATAGTGACAAAAATATCTTAAACTAATAGTTTTTCTTTTAATTCGCTAAATATTTTTTCGTTTAAAATTCACATGGTGATGTAGAAGGATTCAATCATTTTTCAGTTTTAACACGTCAATGCTGTTTAAATATTTTATTAGGAAGAATTAATTTTCTTCTCAAATTCAACATTTCAAAATTTCAATGAGACGACCTCCAGCATTTTCATCGGAATTAAATTTTGACATGTGATTCATGATATCCTGCACGCTTTTATTTTAACACGCGTATGTTTGTTTAAGCAAATAATTTATACTTAAAATTGTATTGCATGTGTGAGCGTGTGTGTATGTGTGTGTTTGGTGTGTGTGTGTGTGTGTGTGTATACGATATGTGAATGTGGTGTGTGTATGTAGTGTGTGTGTGTGTCTATGCGTGTGTGTGTTTAAATTCAACAATATATTTCACAAAACTTATATTTCAAAACATTGATTCAGAATTTCAAAATTATCATATTATTGCTAATGAGACAACATAGTTAAAGATAATTTGGCAGTAAAGTATTTGAAAATGAAGGAACTGGAGTATGTTTTCAATTTCAAATTAATTAATTAATTTCTGGTTGCATAATAAACAAAATATAGTTAACACAATAAACAACAGATACATAAGCAGCAACAACAAATGCAATAATAACAACAACAACTACAACAACAAGAAAACAGATTGATACCAACCAATGATATTTTTACATTTAAACAAAGTAGTATTAATCACATCCAAAAATCCTCGCTAACATTATTACAATCAAATAACAAAATTAAATCCCATTCGTTATCAGGGCACACATCCGAAATTTTATCCTAATACATCAATACCGTCTAGAATTAATAATCTAATTAATTAAGTAGGTAAGTTATTTAATTAAATTTACATATCAACTAATCGATTAACCAGTAAATTAAATTTTTAATTAACACAATAGCTAAATTTGTTGATCTACCAACCCATTGATTTTACGCAGTGACGTACAAAGTTTTTTGATTAGATTGAAAATTTTTATTAAGACCCTTTTAAAATAAAGATTTATATAGATGCTAAAATTTTATAAAATTTCACTTTGACACTAGCAAAAATATCTATAACTCCTGCCCCTATAACCTACGTACGACCAGTCTCTTTCAAAGTACCTGTCAATCATATTTTTCAGATATTTCCCTCAAGGTGTGCCACTGGGCGATTGGTCTTCTCGGGTTGGCCAGGGTGTCACTCCAGTGTCTCAACTCCGTACCTGGTTGGTTCATTAGTAAAAGTGGTTAGTTGATTGATTGGTTGATGAAATGATAAATTAATTGGTTGATAAATTCATTGACTGATTGGTTTATTAAATGAATGATTGATTGAATGGCTGGTGAAACGATTGATTGTTTGAACAGCTGATCTAACCATGAGGCTCATAATTATTTGAGGCAAATAATTTTTTTTAAAGTAATTATAAATACCCTTTAAATTATGTTTCAGAGATATTAACAGTACACACACACACACAACACAGAGAGAGAGAGAGAGAGAGAGAGAGAAAGAGAGAGAGAGAGAGAGAAAGAGAGAGAGTGCATGTGAATACGCGTTAATCCACGCACCACACAGATTGCTTGTGATAGGCGGAGATCTTCTTGCATTCGAACATGGTCACTGCAACAGCAGGACCAGGCGCTTTAACCATTAAACTGCGTGTGAAGTTGAATCGAAGCACTGACCTGAGGAATGGCAACCAAGCACAACCTGACCGATGGGATCCGAACAACTTATCCTGTCATAGTCCACAACTGTCACTACCAACATCGTTTGCTGGATGATAGATTGATGGATAGATAAGTGGATAGATTGATGGATGAATAAGTGGATAGATTGGTGGATGGATAAGTGGATAGATCGATGGATGGATAAGTGGATAAATTGATGAAGGAATGAATAAATAAATAAATAATAGAATTGGTGAGTGGTTTGTTTAGTACATGAAATGAATGATTGGATGGATGGATAGTCTGTTGACAGCACGGATGGGAAGACGTTATATGAATGCTTAAAAATGGCAGAAAACATTTATTAAAACAATTTATCTGACAAAATTACTCTCATAATATGCTTTTCATTTATAATTTCATTCACATTCTGAACGAATGTTAACGATATTTAAATAGTTTGAAAAATTCCTGAAAAAATGTGAAACAATTAAAAGGATGAACGCCAGCAATTAAGTTGGTTCTCATTCATCAATAAATTACATAGCGGACGGCAATGGACTATGTGATGGATCTGTCCATTTGAACTTAAGAGATGACGTACGTTAATGAAAATGAAACAAAAAAGATGGAAAAAAATTGAGAAATATACATTGACAAAGTAACAATATATAAAATAGCCAGAAATAATTTACATTTTTTTTAAATTTGTCAAAATGTGGAAAAGTAGTCTGTAAAAATGAACATTTGAAGTTAGCGAAACAATTAAAATAATCATTAAGACAAATGGGACCAAACTTAAAAAAAAGATAAGAACATTTTACCTGTATGGTTTCAAAGGGGACCTCAAACGTGAATGCTTCGTTATAGTAAGGGTTCAAGGTGCATTTCTTAATCGTTGTCTTCTTCTTTTTTATCCTCTTGCCATTTTGCAGGAGAGACAACTTAACGTACGGATCTATTCCGTGTATCAAATTATGTGTATATGTGCGTGCGTGAGTGTGTGTATATGCGTGTGGTGTGTGAGTATATATATATATATATATATATATGTGTGTGTGTGTGTGTGTGTGTGCGTGAATGTGTGTGTGGTGTCTATATATATATATATATATATATATATATATATATATATATGTGTGTGTGTGTGTGTGTGTGTGTGTATGTGCGTGAGTGTGTGTGTGTGTGTGTGGTGTATATATATATATATATATGTGTGTGTGTGTGTGTGTGTGTGTGTGTGTGTGTGCGTGAGTGTGTGTGTGTGTGTGTGTGTGTGTGTGTGTGTGTGTGTGTGTGTGTGTGCGGGCATTTTACTTTAGTACTTCTCATGTTAACTTCATGAATGTATCAAAAAACAAATTCTCAACAATGGATGAAGTAAATTTTAAAAAAGTCTAATGAAAAAAATTTTTTTGAAAAAACTCAAATGGAAAATTCAGGTTGCATGAAGTAAAAAAAATGTTGAATCCATTTTTGAAAAATTAGAAAAAGTGCAAAATAGCATTCAAATTGGCAGCCAAGCATTGAAGGAACATCACATGCTGAACTCCCACCTGCATGCTGCCTATCACCAGCCAGCACTTACATTGTTGTCCATCATCTTTTCAAAAACACCTCCCTCCAGAAAATTTATAAAGTTGACAGCACGTGTGATAGTGCGTTCATTTTGAATTATTCAGAAATAGTTTTAATGGTGTCTCCATTGAAGATCAGCTCTCTCGCACAATAAATTTGATCTTTTTATACATTTTATTGAAAAATTGAACAAAATTAAGAAAGTTATTATTGAAATAATAACCAACGATAACTTTTTTTTATAAGAAGAATACTATTTTTATTTCTAATAAATACTCTAAGAAGCATCAATGGCAACAAGCACGAGTTGAAAAATGAACTCTCAAAAAATCAATTTTAACATTTTCTTCATAACATGACAAGCAGCAGAAAGTATTTGTTGGTCTGATGCTATTGCTGACGTATTAATCCAACAGTATGAATGAAACATTAAAAAACAACCCACCGCTGTTTAACATAATTTATTCATAAACAGAACCAACCTGAAAGACCACCTACGTCCATCTTTTTGAGGTTCTTAGCCTCCAGAATGACGACAGTCAACTTGCCGGAAGTCGGCACGTAACGCAATGAAAAGCACAAGTCACCTAATTTGTTCTCCTGTGCATTTGTCAAGTATTTAAAGTTGAAAATTATTTTTCCGGTTACATTCCTGACTAACTAAAACTCAACAAAACTCATAAAATTAATTCACATCTAAAAAACATAAAAATAGTTTGATTTCAACTAGACGGCACTTTGAAAAAATGCACAAAAGGGATGATTAAATTTTTAGACAGCTGTCAAATAAAGCATTGAAATGATGAAATGGAATGGTGAGACAAAATTAATTAAGATTTTACTATATTTTAGTATTTAAAAACTATACATTATTTAAAAAATTATACATCTTAAAAATGAAATCTTGCTAGCTAGTTATAATTTCTCCAGTGAACAAATTTCTAGAGGAGTTTCTTTAATGTTTCATTCATATAAAGCAAAACAGGACTGATCAAATTAACAACAATGTGTTTCCATCAAAAGTGAATTAGAACCAATTTGAGTTGGGTGGTTCGAACGAGTTAAATTACAAACAACGTGAATTGGATGGATGATTTCAATGAATTGCATTAAAAACAACGTGAATTAGAAAGCTTGGATAGATAAATTGTGAAACACAAATCACTTAATCAGCACGGAGTGGCTGTGTTAACACGTTGCATATTTATTGCTTTCTACTGACACTGCAGACTCGCAATTGATGGTGGTTAGTGGTTAGACGATGTTAATTTAAAACAAAAATTTAAAGTGCCACTTATACAAAAAGGATAAAAATCGTGAATGAATATTTTTAAAACTTTAAGTAAAAAAACTAGGCCCTGATTTGTCTAAATTGACGCATAAAATTCAACCGGTTTCATTTTAAAAAATGTAAAAATTTAAAAAAAAATTATCGATAATGAAGCAAATATTTTTTTGAGTCATGATGGTTATAAAAATCATCATGTATGCATGTTTACTGGGGCTCATTTGAAATTGAGAGCAAACATTGCTGCAGATTCTTCTAGAGGGTTGCTATGTTCAAGAATAATGACATTTTGTAAATGACTTTTTGTATAAGTCTTTTTTCCTGTCTTCTCATAATTAATTGACTTCTTCATTATTCATTATTCCAAAAATAACCTTTTGGGATTTTTTTTTTATTTGGGTAGAGGACATTAATGTTGATGATGATGATGGTGGTGATTATGATGATGATGGTGATAAAGACAATTAAGATTATGACGAGATTGATGGGAATCGTATTGATAGAAGTGATAATGATGATGATGATAATGATGATGGGAGTGATGATGATGATAATGATAAGAGTGATGATAATGATAATGATAAGAGTGATGATGATGATGATAGCGATGATTGTTAGAAGGATGGTACATGTATGTAGTTGAGACAGAACATGTTTTAGTGATTGGTTCTCGGGCGAGTGTTCGAATTGAACAGGTGAGTAGGTAGGTAGGTAGGTAGGTAGGTAGGTGGGTGGGTAGGTAGGTAGGCATGTAGGTAGGTAGGCAGGTAGGTAGGTGGGTGGTCGGCTATAGTAGTGACGATGATGGTATTTGTGATGATGGTACTTGTGATGATGGTGATGATGAAGGTGATGGTGATGATTATGCTGATGATAATTATGATGATGATGATGATGGTGATGATGATGATGATGATGGTAATGATGATGTTGATTCTGAGTTGATAATGACAACGACGGCCAATCAGCTAGTCACAAACTATCTCTGACGACGAGGATGATGATGACGATGATGACGACGATGACGCAAACGAAGACAATGAAAATGATGATAGTGTGTCAACTTGATGTCAAAGGCATCTGTGCAGGATGTGCATTAGATGCATTCCTGTATTTTGTCAGAACATCAATTTATTTGCATCTATAACAGACTGCTAAACAAAGAATAAAATATTTTTTTCAATTTATTTTTGGTCAATTGAATGAATTATAAAATGGATGAATTCATAAATTAATAACAAGTTAATTAATCAATTAATCAATCAATCAATTAAGTAATCAATTAAGTAATACGTTATTTTATTCTCATTCCTTTCAATTAATTTATTTTTTGCAATGGAAAGGACGAATGAATGACGGAAGGAATGATTATGAAAAGAAAATGAGTCCATAAAACAAAAAGAAGGAAAGAAAAAAAAGATTGAAAAAAATAATTGTACGGAAAAAAGAAACGGTTAGGAAAATAAGAAAATGAATGAGAGACAGATGGAGAGAAAGAAAAAATTGTTAAAAGACGGAGTGACAAGAAAGAGAGACAGAGAGAGAGAAAGAATGAGAAAGAGAGAGCAAGAAAGAAAGAAAATAAATAGAGAAAATGAGAGAGAAAGAGAGAGAGAAAAAGAGAGAGAGAAAAAGAGAGAGAAGGACGGTAAAACATTTATATAGTAGTAGGTTATTTATTTGTTAGAACAATATTCCAAATGTAAATCTCAGAGATGTTGGAAAATCTTTTCTCATGTAAACGTTCATTATAAACGTGTCAATTGACCATTTATCATTTTGTCGACAGGGGAGTATTTAGTTCAGATGCTGTTAGCGAATGTCTGATTGAGTTTTTAAGGATGCGAAAATATGGGCTGGCTGGTGTGGAAGAATGATTTGTTGGTTGGTTTGTCGGTTTTTCGTTAGCTGAATTGTTGGCTGGTTGTCGACTGGTTAATTGGTTGGTTGAATGCTTGAATGGTTGTTGATTGGTTGATTTGTTTATTGATTGGTTGTTGATTGGTTGTTAGATGGTTGATTGGTTGGTTGAATGTTTGTTAGTTGGTTGATTGCCTGGTTGATTGGTTTACTGAATGACTGAATGAATGTTGATTGGTTAATTTGTTGATTGAATGACTGGTTGGTTGAAAGATTGTGCAACTTGTAATCATATAAAAACACGTCTAAATAATCAAAAAATTAATAATTAATAAGAGAATATAACATTTCATTTGATCTTTGAATGTAGAGTAGGTATTTTACATGAATAAAAGTAAACTCTGTCTCAGAAAATTGTACATTGTTTGGAAATCGCAGGTATAAATGTTTGTGAAGATGTCTGTGTGAACTGTTTAGGTTTTTCAAGTTAATCCGTTCATGGTTTGCTGATCGATTGTGTACAAAATCCAAGATTGTATGACAGGATGTTAAGTGTTAAACGTTTAAGTAACGGCTTGTTTTTGTCATGTGTTCTATATGTTTAATTTTCAGTATTTGTATAATATTTTGGTTTGTTAAAAGTTTTTATTTTTTGTTTTTTAGTTTTTTAGCCTGATTGTGTGATAGGAGAATCGCGTGCATATGAAGACTGTTTCTGTCCCTCTGGTTTGTATTTATGTAGCATGGTTTCTTAAAAGTCCAAAGGATAACTTCCGCTTAATATTTATAAAAATTCTTATAATTCAATCAATAATTTCATCATTAATTATGTAATTTATTTAATAAATGCGTGTTTCAAAAATCTATTAAAATGTTTTATTATTTTGGCAATGGTGTTCAAAATGAAATAAAATTAATCAAACCATGTTCATACAGATTTCTGATACCCAGCTCACTATGAATACATGTTTATGATTATTTATTGCTGTCATATTGAAGAGCTACAAAGTTTGTAAGATGTTAACGTTTAGGTTCTTATTAAATTTATTAAATAGTCCATACTTGCATAATGTTTGCATGTTTCAATGTTTAAATTTAAAAAAAATTTTGGAGCCTTATTTGCATTCTTCCATAAATTTTAACTGCTTATTTAGAATGCCTGCTTCAACATGTTTATGTATGTATATTTATTGTTGAAAAAATTTATTACATTTTTTTTCATTATTTTGATTTTTTTCAAATTTATTCAACGTTATGCGTGTGCGTGTTTCATTGTTTGTTCTTTCATTTGCTCGCCTTCTTCGTCTTTCGCGTTTACTTTTTTCCCATCGCAAGTTTGTTTATGAAATAATCTTCTTTGTGTAGTTTTAATAAACTTGTGTGGATGTATCTATGATTTTGTAATAGATCTTTAAATACACGCATATGCAACATTCTCAAATGCTTGTGTGAAACGTTCTTGTGTGGCCAGGAGCGCTACTTCTCCACGTAGGCGGGCGTTTGAGTCAATTGTTATTTTTGAAAATTGTTTTCTCTACGTGCTGATGTTTGATTGTTTTTACAGTTAATATCATTTGGCGTGTGTTGCATTCTTTTTGAATCGTATTACTCTAGGTAAAGATTTTGATCGAATTTTTTTCAATCTCTCTAGTTGGTTGTTTTTCATCAATATTTAAAAAGTTTTAGCAGACATGTTTGTTGCAAACTGAAGGGATTACCTCAGCATTCGTTGAAATGTAACTTTCATGAGTGAATTTTCTTTCAAAATAATTAACGTAACTGAAATACAAATAAATCACTTTAAAAAAATTGGCGTTTTTTAATGTCGAAAAATTTTGTATTACTTTATTTTGTATTACTTTATTTTCATCGTAAAAATTCCCATTGTGATTTTTGACTAATTTAGTAAGATGATTTTTACCAACATTTAACTTCCTCATGCACCGCCGATAAGATGTTGTAGATATTATTATGTAGATGATAATTTAGGTTAGGAGGTGTAAGTAAATATAGGTTATATATAGATATGTCTCAGAGTAGGTTGGCAATTATAATGATAGTTAAGCTATAAAAAAAGTAATTCACGACGAGACATCAAATTTACAGACTTGAAGCAGCTTAATATATGATAATATAACATATAATGAAACAGAGCACATGATATTTTCTATAATGAGGATGAGGTGACATACAACAGGGACTGACTAGTTAGAAACAGTTTGACAGCCAGTTAAGCTCTAGTGAGCAAGGTCTCCAAGTGTATAACAGGCGAGCACATAAGTTAAAGGGAGTGAGCTAAGAGTTATCTTAGTTATCTCTCAAACACTTTATAAGACTTAGACTTAACACACTTTAGCACATTGGAACATTCCTAGATAATCTTTGCATTATTTTTATTAGCGTTATTCAATTTTGCAATTTAAGTTTTGTTATAATAGTAAAAAATAAAAATTATTATTAACAATAATGGATGAGTCGTTTCTCGTTCGATTTCGATTATGTATTTAATTTTTTAACATTTTAAACACTAACTAATACTCAACACACATAAGTCACCAATTAAAGTCATCTATCATTATTTCATGTACGCGAACAATTTCGAGTTATTTAAAGTTGAGCGAGAGAGTTTACAGAAACGGAAAGAATTTCCCGAAGAGCCATCTAAGTTGTTCGTTCGGTAACCGTCGTAGAATGGTGAAGAGCGAGCAATATAACAACATGGAGGTAACACATGTTGTCAATTTTATCTTCCAACTTTTTTAAACTTTTATTTATTTATTATTTATTTTTATTGATTTTTAATTTTCAATTTTCTTCGTCATTTTATACTTCTCATCTGTAGCTTTTCGTGAATCAAAATTTCCGCATGGTGCATTCGTCAACTTCCAATACTGCCTGCTGTTCTTATGAATGTATGCATGAATTTATAAATGACGCTGCGGGTGTAGTTGTTGATTGGAGAACACGGAGAGAGAAGAAATATCATCATGATGCGTGCGTGTTTGTGTGTGTGTGTGTGTGCGTGCGTGTGCGTGTTTGTGTTTGTATTTATTGGTGTTGAAAAGTGTCTAAAAGCAACCAGCCCAACGTTTTAAAATTTTAACAGCATGTTTCAGCAGGTGTCTTGTTCATACTTCAAACCATCGACTCTGGAAAAGGTTTGGTGAGATTTTGTAGAGAAAAAAAATCAAAATGCTCTTAAGAAAAATTTTATCCAGCCCACAAAAGTTTGTGTAACAATTGTAAGGCAAACACTTCACCATCATTTGTTTCACCTTAAATAAGTGCTACTGTTGTTTGAGGAAAAAGATCGTCGTCGTAATTTTCATCATTGTTTCTATCACCAACATCTTTTTGAGATTGTCATCATCGTCATCATCAACACCACCACCATCATCGTCGTCATCATCATCAGTGATCATCATTATCATCAAAGTTACCCTATCAGAGCTGTTGTCCGGTTTTTCAATATCCCTCCATTCCTCGATGACCTTCCCGAGGTCAACTGAGTTCAAGGGCACGGTTACTTGACCTTAAGTCATGATGATGATGATGATGATGACGCTGGTGATAAGGATGACGATGATAATTATTATTGGAATGATAATAATGACGATGATGTAGACTATGATGGTGATGGTGATTATGATGATGTTGAGGATGACGTCATGAAGACGACGACGATGATGACGTCACTTACCTATTTGATCGTGCTTGAGGAAGCGATCAAAGTCATAAACTGCAAACACTAGCGTCTTTGAAGCTAGCTCCACGTACGTTATCTGTGATGATGATGATGACGATGATGATGATTATGATGACGATGATGATGATGACGATGATGATGATTATGATGACGATGATGATGATGATGATTATGATGATGACGATGTTGCATGTAATATAGTTTCAGAGTAAGACTTACAATATTTCTACTCTTCAAAAGATTATTCTTTCAGTTTTAAATTTTTTATTCTTCTTGGGAATATTTTTGCAGTTTTAAAAATTTTTTGATGATTTTATTTATTTTTCTAAGATAATGATAATAATAATAATAAAATCGAAAAACTAAACAAATAGTAAAAATCAGTGAAGGGAAGATAGCTGCAAAGATATTTGTTGTTGTGCTGAATACATAATTACCGTCGGTATTAATTTCATTACCAAGGCCGCTGTTTTATCATCGTCGTCTTCGTCATCCTTATCGTCATCATCATCTTCATGGTCACCATCATCATCTTTGTCATCATCGCCATCATTATTATCATCTTCAACTTCTTCTTCTTCGTCATCATCATCTTCTTCATCACCATCATCATCATCTATATCATCATCATCATTTTCGTCATCACCATCTTCAACATCGTTACCGTCACCGTTTTCGTCATCATCATCATCGTCCTCATCATCTTCACCATCATCATCCATCTGATCACCATACAAGTGGGACTACGATGTATTTTCTTGCCGGCCAAATTGAACCTACCACGCAATATTTACTTCAACATTCTTATTAATTATCTTATTGATTGTAATTGCTTTCTTCTTAATTACATTTGTAATAATTACATTAGTAGTAATTACTCTGTCCAAAATATTACATCACATTTAGAGTAATTAAATCATTAGCAATTACATCAGAGTTAATTACATTAGTTGCACAGACATCAATACCAAATATATAATGATTATAAGTTGTTAGTATATACGTTGTTAGTTACATGATAATAAATTCTTAATAAACAGAATTTTTCACAATATGTCCAGAAACTTAGAAGAACTTTTTAGAAATCTAAACCTTCCCATCCTAATAAACTGCAGGTACAAAAATGCTTAAAAATTTTTAAAGTACCTCATCAACAACTCAATCCAATTTATTCAATCAGACAGCTGACTCAATCAGACAACTGAGTCAATTAGACAGCTGAATCAATCAGACAGCTGATTCAATCAGACAATTGAGTCATTCATACAGCTGACTCAATCACACAGCTGGCTTAATCAGACAGCTGACTTAATCAGACAACTGACTCAATCAGACAGCTGACTCAATCAGACAACTGATTCAATCAGACAACTGACTCAATCAGATAGGTGACTCAATCAGCCATCAACCAACTTTGTGAAGAAAGGTTTCATTGAATGATGGCGAAAGAGTTTTTCTATGGACCTTGGTCTCAAATTTCTTCTTCTTATCGGGTAGGATGTATACCTTAACGTAGGGATCGGAAGTTCCGCACACGTCCATCGCTGGCAGATTCCTGGCTTGTATCACTCCTATTAGCAACTGTGGATGTGTTTGCTTGTGTGTGTGTGTGTGTGTGTGTGTGTGTGTGTGTGTGTGTGTGTGTGTGTGTGTGTGTGTGTGTGTGTGTGTGTGTGTCTGTGTCTGTGTGTTTGTGAGGGTGCGTGAATGTTATTTTTAAAATTTTTGATCGGGTATTTATGTGAAATGGAATAATAAATAATATATTGTTATTTTTCGTGTTTTAAAATTTGATATGAATAAAAATTTGTTCTCAAATCCTTCAATTAACCTCTCCTTTTTGAAAATCAAAATCCAGAGAAAACTGCAATTTCCCGAGATTAACCTTTTTGAAAAATTTAAAGAAATCATTATTACGTCATCGCCGACCTCATCGTCGTCATCAACATCATCATTTTCCATTTTAAATGACGTCATCGTCAGCATCTGTATCATTTTAAAACAATTACTGTCATCGTTGTCATCATTCTCTTCAACCCCATCATCTTCTTCCTCATCATTCCTACTCCCATTATCATTTTTCCCCATAAAAATCATCCCCATTCTCATCTCGTCATTATTATCCATTGTAAGCAGTCATCGCATCATTGTCGGGATCACCATGTTAACTATTACATCACCACTATCACTTCATTCAGGGTGTCATTAACATTTATCAAAAAAATATTTTAGTCATATTCATAGTCAAGTTTTTTATTATTTTGGAGACCTTTATTCACTCACTTTGTCTTGATTATGATGTTGTTTTTGTTGTTGTTGATGTTGCTGTTGCTGTTGTTGTAGTTGTTGATTAAGTATTCCACCACCTTCATTGTCTTCCATGTTGCATTCGAGTTCATCCAGATCTTGTTCGTGCTGTCATTTCACGTTATCATTCATTCATTCATTCATTCATTCATTCATTCATTCATTCATTCATTCATTCATTCATTCATTCATTCATTCATTCATTCATTCATTCATCCATTTTTTTATTCATTCAATCGTTATTTCTTTTGTTAATTTTCCGTTTCAAATATTGGTTCCAGTTAGGTTCGTGTTATTTCTATTATTTGCGTTAACTCACTCATCTACTAATCTACACATTTTTACATTCACTCATTCACATTTTCTATTGTAAATTCATAACTCATATCATCGTTACCGTCGTCACGATTATTATTCTGAATTTTTCATTTACATAATTTTACTATTTTTTTCCAGCATGTCCAATTTTTTTCCAAAAATGTCATCATATCGCTTCAACACTTGCTTACTCATTCACTCGTTTTTCCATTAAAATTTCTGATTTTTGTTTATTTCTTATTTAAATTCCTAAATGTAGATAAAAAATTGAAAGTAATAATTTATGCTTAGATAGATGTACTTGAATTTTTATTTCCTCGTGAAACAAGCAAACATTGAACCTTTTTGAAGTTTTGTTATTTCATTTGTTCTTATTTCTCAAATTACTCTTTTAAGTCTGGAACCATTATTTAAAATAGAAAAATAAAAAAAAACTGTAAAGTTTTTATGCCTTACAGAAATAAATACGTTCCCGCCACTTATCGTCACAAAATCGCCAACCACTACCGCAAAATCGCCGCATAATCAACACCTCCTAGCACATAATCACCCCCTAACACCACCAACACTCGCTGCTCAAAATACAACGTTCTCATAACTTCAACTGACTCAATTTTTAAGAGCTCAACAAATCAAAAGTTCTGTCGCTTCGTCCTCTTGCCCATGACAGGTGTAAATCATTAAAAATTTAACAGACCATAAAGAGAGCTGGCCTCTCCGTTTATTACAGTATTACCAACCCACCTTTAAAACATTGTTATATTCGTCTTAGTGGTCATAAATTACAAACTCGCATAATTTAAATGTAATCCAGGTAAATTCAAGTTAAATTTATTTAAAATTGTAAGTCATGTTTTGTAAATTTGAAACTATGTTTTATGCTTCATCTGTCATTGTGTGTTGTTTTTTCATTATTGTGGGAGGTGAGCGGTTGAAATTCATCAAATTTATCTCTCAGACTTTCAGTTACCTGAACTGTAAGAGGAATTGTTTAAATCGTCATCTAATTTTATTGACCAATTTTAATAGCCCAAACAGAATGCCCCCAAATAGGTTCCAATTCACACACATGACGTATCATACCTCGGAAAACGTGATGCAATGAGATATGTGTTTTAATTTTTATAACTTTATTTGTGACAGCAGTGTAATTTGACTTTTTGGTTTCCTGGATATTTTGGACACATTAACCGTTTTTGATATTATATTTAATTGTGTATAATAAGAAGAATACTAACAATAATACCAATAACAATACTAATAATAATACTACTGCTAATACTACTAATAATAAAAATAATAATAATACATATAGCGGAATGTGAGGAAAAAACAGCCATCAAAGAGGCCAGGAAATGTAAATTGAACATTGTTTGACATTTCAAAGCGGATGTTTTTTGTCAAAATTTTGTCATGGATTTATATTTGGTAATGCATTAAATAAACATACATGTACAAAAACATAATGAAAAATTTTTTATATTTTATATTTTTTTTATAAACTACCTTGTGTGATATCAAATTTGAATCAACGAATTAATACATAATGAGATGAGTTAATTTATATTATTATAAAAAGAGATAGATGAACCCATGATTGTATACTTTGCGTGCGGCTAAGATGAAAATGATGGATTGATGATTGGGTCTGTGTTTGACTAAGCTGCGTAATAAAATTCAAAACAGTAAATATAAACAAAATAAAATATTGCTTGCAATGTAGAACAACTCAGTTAGTTCGTCTTTCCCTGATTCATTAAACGTGTTCAAAATGAAATTTTCAAAAATGTCTTTTTCGGAAAATATTTGTTTATACGTGTGATTCCTTGTATGTTTGTATGTATGTATGTATGTACGTACGTATGTATGTTTGTATATATGTATGTATGTATGTATGTATGTATGTATGTATGTATGTATGTATGTATGTATGTATGTATGTATGTATGTATGTATGTATGTATGTATGTATGTATGTATGTATGTATGTATGTTATGTTGTGTTATGTTATGTTTTAAAAACTTGCAAACCCCGCGTAGACATTAAAAATTGTAGACATAAATAAAAGTTTTGTTTACTTATCCAATTAATTTTATTCTACTGCCTAACATGCTGTAACAGTTTCTGCGCCTGTCCGATCCTGATTTTCAAAGAATAATAAAAAAAATATCTATGCCAGTAGGTAGGGACTTAGTAACATCTGAACATATACAGTATATAGAAATTGTTGTATATTTGAAAAATGATAGAAAATATTTAAGGTAGGAGTCCGTGATATTAGGCTCATCGAGCCAACCATCCCATCAAATTAATTTTCATGGTTGAAACTTGAATATGGAAATAATATTTCATTCATTTACACCGTTACCATATTTTTACAGATTATTAAAATTTGGAAAGTTGGTTTGCATTCCAATAAAAGTAGAATACCTATACTGATTTTGAAATAATTTTGTAAAAATAAATACAATTTTAAAAAGACTTCTTTTAAAGTTGGTCCGATCCATTTCTAAACCTTTAACTTTTAAATTATCAAAGTTTTTCAAACAACAGAACTACAGACAAATGTATCATTCCCACAAAAAAATTTACCTGCTAAATAATGAAGAACAAACGACAATACAACAACAACAACAATATCAACAACAACAACAGCACGACACCACCATCAACAACAACAATATCAACAACAACAACAAACAAACACAACAACATCAACAACAACATTTCAACCAAACAACAACCAAACAACAACGACATGTCACAAAACGAAACAACACAACAACAAAATCGGTCGATGCTATTATTACTACAAACCAGAACGGCGCAAAAAAAAATTCTGACACATCCGTTCTTGCTTTTCAAAAAAAAATTTTTGAAAAATTTCTCAAAACAACAACGTGATGAATAAAATAAATTTTCATTTGTGTTCTATTTCTGTGGAAATATTTTTTATAAAATTTAGAAAATAAAAAAGGTCAAGTACAAGCGTACGTTAAATCCAGATACGAATATACCTCACTAATTGGTTTGTTCATTTTCAATTATTAAAAATAATTAAACTAAAATTAATTGAATAAATAAATTTATTAACAATTATAACTTTTGTTGATACAGATACAGTGATATAGCAAATAGAATCATACATATATTCATGTTTTTAACTCTGTATCTCAACAATTCATTCTTGACAATTATTATTATTATGAATGTATATACATACATACCATTCTATGAATAAGGCTAAATTAAATGAATAAAATGAAAATAAATGGAATAATTAAATATTGCCAACGATGCCAGTAGGTGCATTAAAATAAATTCTCTTTTCTTTTTCATATGAAAAAATGCATTTTTTTTACGATCTACCATCTATATGCATCTCTTGTCATTGCATTTCTATTTAGTTGGCTTGTTTTGAATAGAGGAAAAGTCAGAAAGTTGTTTTGTTATTTATATCAACCTGCTGATGTGCATTGTTCTGATGGGAGTTATGAGTTAAATACACATGTGTATTTTGTTTGGGAGTGTAAATTTCGTATGATTCACGTTGATTCACATGTGTATTTCGTCGGGAGTGTAAATTTTGTATATGTGTGTTGATTTTTTGCTCGAATCAGTTCATTATTCACCATACAATATGATTAATTGTTTTATCTCTATAGTCAATAAGGCCAGTTTATACCATCCTTCGTGTATTTTTTCAATTTTAATCGTTTCCATCCTTATCATCTCATCTTCAAAATGACAACTTCCCTTTCAATCAATGTATGTATGCATTCCTTATTTCTGCATTAAGCATTTTGGGCTTTTAATCTGCAATTTGCATGAAGGTTTTAATATTTTATCATCAACCCAACATCAGCATCATTATAATCAATACCGTCATCATCACCACCCTCATTGTCATCATTATCATACCTTACTATCCTGCAGCCTGGCACCCTTGACATTGAAGTTTTTTTTGACGACTTTGCTGGTAGTCACCTTGTATCGCTTCTTTGCGAAGAACTTTTTTACGAACCATAGAATAAATAGCAGGACGATAATGCACGCAAGCATTCCCATCATCACCCATACTTTTGCCGATGATGACGACTGTGAGGATGAGTTTGACGACGAAGACAACGACGACGATGATGAAGATGGAGATGACGATTTCATGGATGACGATGATGGCATCGATGAGGACGCCGAGGATAAAAACGATGATGAAGCTGTTCCTACTACTGCTGCTGCCGCTGCTGATGAGGATGATGATGATGAAGAAGAAGAAAATGACGATGATGACGATGATGACGATGATAAATTTGATGATGAAGAAGAAGAAAAAGAAGATGATTCAAAGAGTGTTCTTGTATAAAAATTTAAATAAAATAAGTTTGGTTTTGGCGAAACATTTTTACGAGCACGTGTTAAAAATTATTAGAGTGCGTTCAGTGGATAAATAAGGTGGGTGGGTAAACGAGTGCTGGCTTCAACGCATCTCTCCGTATGTCTGTGTAGGTATGTGCAATTGGTATTTATTCGTGGTTTTGTGTGTTTGACATTTTTGTGTGGTAAAAATAAATAAAAAAGAATTAAAGTTGTTATCTTTTTGTAAATGTTAAGTTAATCAAAATTTTGAGTTTGTATGGATGTGTATGTTGTCGATACCTTTTCGTAATGTTATCATTCGAAAGTTTATACACGTGTGTGTGTGTTCATATGTATGTGTACGTGCGTGTATGTTTATGTATGTGTGTGTGTGCATGTGTAAACGTAGGTGTGTATGCATGTGTGAATAAGTTCTTTTGGATTTGATTTTTAAGATGAACTCCTCAGTTACCTCATTGCATGTTGTCTTCAGGTTGGGCTTGATTAGAATTTACGTACTCCTGATTAGAAGAGCTTTGGAAATGAAGGTGTGGTAATGTAATGTAATGTAACGTAATGTAATTTAATTTTGATGTAATGTAATGTAATTGATGTCGTTAATTTTGGGTTTTTGGTTTTGTTAATCTATTTAAAAGTGATGCTAATGTTTTTGCGGTTGCTGCTGATGTTGTATTTGATGTTTTTTTGATGCACCTTAAGATGATTGATGACAAAAAACTTAATAAATTATAATTTTTTTTAAGAACTTGTAAGGGCCTGTTATACATTCTTACATGGAAGGCTCATTCAACATCATCAATACATATATATATATAAATATATCTATTTATATAAATATAAATTATTTAATTAAATAAGATAAATTAGATAAATAGAAATTATCCTGTTTTTCCACGTAAAAACTTTCAATGAATTTCT